AAGGTGGCCGTTTTCGACAGCTTTATCCATCGCATGCTCCATGCAGCCCTCTCCACGATGCGCATGTAACCACTTGACGACTTCTAGACGGCCATTTTTAGCAGCCCACTCCATAGCATCTTCCGTACACCCCTCTTTTCTGTTGTTGTGGAGCCACTTAACGACGTCGAAGTGGCCGTTCTTAGCAGCCCAGTTCATCGCAAACGTAGTACAGCCTTCGATTCGGTTCTCGTGGAGCCACTTGACGACGTTGATGTGGCCATTGCGAGCAGCCCAGTTCATCGCAACGACGGTACACCCCTCTTTCGTGTTGTCGTGAAGCCACTTGACAATGTCGAGGTGGCCGTTTTGAGCAGCCAAGTTCATCGCACACTCCGTGCATCCCCTGCTGGGGCTCGAACTGTTCAATTATTGCGTGATCTTTATTGTTATTTCTTACGTTTTCTTTACAGACTATAAATGAAACAACTGTAAGAGATGGTAGAGGAACGATTTGTCTAGTCGACTGACTAGAGTTGGGCACCAATGTCTACGGAGACTGTTTGATAAATTTATTTGTCGAACTTAGCCTAACCACAGAGTCTACAATACGTAATTACGTTTTTACATTTTTTTTTTTTTTTTTACAAAAGTTGCACTTCAAGCACTCATGGTCATCAGCGAGCTCACTCTCCGTTTCGCCGCGATGGAGACACCACCACCAAGCACGAGCTTTCGTCCTCCCGACGAGATCGTCCCTGACTCCCAGTCGTCTGACAACGAGAGTCAAGAATCGATAAGTCGTGTTCGACTTTATGACGAAATCGTCCCGGACTCCCAAGAGAGTACTTCGCCGGACAACTTCTCTCCCCCGCGCAAGCTCCTGCGACGCCGACGAGCAGCCTGGTCCGTACTGCGTGCTCGCCTTCGGGACGTCATGCAGCAAATGCGCGTGTTGATCTTCGTACATACAAGCGACCCAAAGCTCTGTCTGGACATCCGATTGTGTGCCGTGATGCGCTGGAAGAAGATTGGGTGGATGGCGTTACTACGAACGTCTGACGCACGTGCAAGTGATTTGGAGACGAACTTGCAACTTTTACAAACGTTTACAAAAGAAGACCTTCTCCAAGACAACA